AAGCGTAATTGTTAGGTGATATGGAAGTGAAAGGAAACCTAAAAGCTTGGAGGAAGTGGGGTGTATAGAAAATTAAAAATGGGTGTTATAAGATTTGAGAAATGTGGGGTGTATGTATAAAATATAAGGTGTATATTGAGAATATGGGGTGTAGGGGTATTATGAGAAAATATGTGGGATGTATTAAGATAATTTTTAAGTGAAAAAAGTAAATGTGGGGTGTATTAAGTATGTGGGGTTTATTCAACAATTTATGGGATGTTAATATAATAAGCCCCAAAAAAATTCAAACTTGAGTGTTTTAGCCAACTTAACAAAATTCATGTTTGCATTTTACTTTGCTTACTTCACGTGCGCCATGTTTTATTTATTTGCAATGGAAAACAAAAAACTTGTTATTTGTACCCAACGATCAACTCTAATTAATGGATATTACTTAAGTACTCATGAGTTATGGTCTCCTTTACTCACGTTTTGATTTGATGCAACTAAAAGATGTCACGTGTCCCTATTTTTTTAATGCCCAAAAACAATGAAATATGTGTTAAAATATCAGTGGCCCAAAATAAAAGTGAGTATATAAGTATTCATCCGTGATTACCTAAGTATTATCCCTAATTAACCACTACTTTTTCCTTGAATAAAAGAAACAAAAGAAGAACACAATTATTTGTCATTTATAGAACTAAGTTAACTACTTTCGTCTAATATTTATCTATATAGAGGGAGAAGGCAAAAATGATGAAACTTTCATAGTATCTAAAATGCCCTTATCTTATTAGGATTTAAAAAAAAAAACCATGTAAGGTGGTTAGTAAGTTCATTATTTTTTAAGGAAAACTAATGAAAATGACTTGAAAACTTTGAGTTTTAACAATAAGGACAAAATAAAAGGTAAAATGAATAGTATCAGGTTTAACTTTTTAGTGTAAAAATATGGTTTTTCGTTAAAATGAACAGTACCGTGAGCTTTTCGTTAAAACTCCTTATTTTTTAAGGTATATTCTAATAAGAAACAATAATATTTAAAATAAGTAAAACTAAAACAAAAAACAAAAAATGTAAAACAATAATATCTAAAAGAAGTTCACTATATATTGAATAAAGTCAGGAATTATTTATAATCTGACCATATCTTGATGAAATATATCAAATCCAAACCGGACCCATTACATGTCTAACGCTTGAGATATTTTATTTTCTAGAATACATGCCACATATATTAAATTTAGGGAAGCGAAGTAGTGCCCTCTAAACTACTATGGGTATATACTTCACTCTTATTGTGCAGCTCAGAACCAAACTCGTAACGCCAAACCAAAACACATAGTACCACAATAAAGAAGACAACTGATTAGTTTTTACGTAAATAAATTATAGATATTTTCTTTGTTCAAACAATTAATTAAAGTCAACTATATCCCTTTCATCCCAATGCGAAAAGAAAGTATCGCTTTCATGCATGCATAATCATTTGTATTATTTACTAAAAACACTTTATTAGATGTAAGTGATGTGATTAGGGGTAGTTTTGGGACCTTTGGGTACTAGACAATGTCCTATTATTATCAGTGAAAAAAACCTCAGGCCCCACCTTAAACTTCAGAGGCTAACCATGATCCATCAATAATATCACCGAAATTAATTGTTTCAATTTAATTACTTATTTCTAAATATTGACTTCTATCACAAAAGAAATCGATGATATTATGGATGAAAAATCTCATATATTAATTGTGTTTCAATCTGTTATATGTCCAATGTGAAATCATATTCTCTAACACTTTAATGTTAATTAACATAAAAAGGATGTGATTTTATAGTTATAGTTAATTAGTACTTAACAATAATAATATTGGAATCTTTGTTGGAGGCACAGGGTTTAGGCTCAGATCGATCTCCTTTTCTCTTTTAAGATACCGACATTAAAGCAATCAAATATTTTCCTTTCATCTTTTAGCCTTCCTCATCTAAATACTAATATAGTGTATTGGAACTTTTACACATGGAAGTCCGCATCATATTTAGGTGGAAAACAACAAACATTTCGGTTTATTTAAGCTCTTGATCTTTGCCCTAACCAGTCTCCTAACTTGAATGATGACTGATGACACCCTCATAGAATCAGATAGGTAGAAGAAGAGAAAGTAGACTTTTTATCTTTTTGGTAGAATTTCTACAGATTCTCTTTCAAATTTTCAATAGTTTCCCACACCTCAATACGCAAGCATAATAGTGGCAGTCACCTAATTTACTAGTCAAATATGTTTAGTAAATGATGTACATAAACATCATAGTAATTAAAATAGATTTAACCACTTAGTATTACGATCTATTAGTATTTTTTTCACTTATAATTGACAGATCTTAAATTATATTTTCGCCAAAGACGAATTAGAACTAAATTATTATTGCTAACTCATTGTAAGACTTAGCTCTCTCTCTCACATCTTAGTATAGATATATCATATGTATTAAAGAATTAGATTCAACAATCAGATTTTATGATGAGTTCGTGAAAACTTTTGTGTACTTAATTAGCAATACTCATACTTATTACTGAAATGGGATCTTAAGGACTATAGGTTGAAAACATAACATAAAAACTCGAAAAGAATATTAGATAAACCTAACATGCATGTATCACTGCCGCGTACTCATGTGTACGTAACATCTACTCACATTATACTGTAAATAATTAATAACACGCGCGACATGACAGTCTATAACCCTACATATTGTGTAGCCAAAACTCGTTTGGTGTTGATCGTATTCCTTAAATAACATACATCGAGAGAGCTTTCCATTTGTTGAACCAAAATTAGGAACACCATTTAAGTATCATTTTAATACACGAGCAATGATACACTTACCACATTTTTCATAATACATTTATATCACCTCTCTAATAGAGGTAGAGCCTAGCACATGTAAGTTATATCTCTATTAAAAAGGTGATACAAATGTAGTAAGAGTATCATTTTTTATAAAAACACCTCTGAAAATAAAAGTTTCGTGAGAGTATTTTGAATGACAACACTTGTAGTTTTCTCTTAAGGGGAGGGAATCAGAATTCATTGTGTAACCGCTGCTCCAAATCACCTTCCTTTATTTTACGACTCTTAGATTTTCTTTTTTCTTTTTTAGAATATAAGAGATATATCACCACACATTGATAGCAGACTAATTCTACTCCTCATGCATCACAAGTATCACATGATCGTAGTGTAATTTTGTCCTTGGATCAAACAGACTTCAAAGCAAAGCCAGTGATTCAAGAAATTCATTTGTGAGAGTTCGACTCGGGTTAGGAGAAATTTTTAATTGTGACAGAAACACAAGTGGTGCATCACATGTTTTAATATGAGTGATGAGAAATTTTATTTTTTAAGTTATTAACTTTCTAACACACATATCCCACTATTTGTATAATGATACGTGATGTATCACTCCATGTATAACTTATATTATTAAAATATGATTATAAAAGTGAATACAGTGGTCCTCTTCTATGTAGCATAGTAATATAATATTTGGGAGGGAGGTAGATTGTCTGCCTTGCTTTTACCATACCCTTCTCATCCCTTCAATTTGTTCGATTACGGTTAAGTCACGTCAATATTTTATATTGATTTTTTTATAGAGATAATAAGACAAAAAACAATAAAAATATAAAATGTTGACGTGACTTAACCGTGATAGCACAAATAAGAAAGGATGGAAATGGTATAGTATTGGAATGGCAGACGATATGCCTCCATTTTGGAGAACTCCGGAGTATTTTATAATAGAGCTTTTAAACGTTAAATTTTGGTTATTATGTTTTTTTTTTATATTAAGAATCTGACAATTCAAAACTTCATAACAATTTTGCATTTTCTAATATAGGCGAGGCTTGTGTGTAAATCTCATCTCTGTTAAAAATATGTGAACAAACGTATTAATTTTGTGTGTATAAATAGAATTACTGATATGAAAATCCGAAAGAGTAGGTATATCAAAATTTTAGACGAAATTTACAAAACATATGATGTTTTACAAGTAGAAAATAAACATTTTAATCAATACTTAAGTTTCAATAATCATGTTATGTAATTTATCAAATTTAATTTAAAAAGTTGATGTCCACCCAAGTGGAAAAGTAGTTTTTCTCTTCCTCAATAGCATAAACATTGAAAAGGGATCTTCTCCGGATCCCTTTCCATCTGAGCCTACTAACCAAGCAATCTGAGTTGATCCAACGATTAAAAACAGGAGGGCCATTAAAAGTTATAATAACTTTAGCCATTGGATCAAATTTTAAAGGTCCGGATTGTATAGTCAATAGGCTCAGATGAAAGAAATCCGGAGAGGATCCCTTTCCCATAAACACCACACCAAGCAGACAAACATAGCTAGATGGCTCCTCTTTAGAGCAACTCCAGCGGGAGTTGGAACCTAATAGACCGACGACAGAAATGACCCAATAGCCCCAGCAATCTACTCCAGCCCATGTGGGCAATGGGGTTCGGGGGAGGCCTGAGTGAGAGGCTCGGCTCGAATTGGTGCCCGAGAGCTTGCGGCCACATGTGACGTCAGCCACATTAAAAAATTAATAAAAAAATGTAAAAAAGCAATAAAAATTAAAATTAAAAAAAAACAATGTAAACAATTAATAAACAAAATTAAAAAATTAAAAAAAAATTAAATATTTTATAAATATCTTATCATTATCTTCCATCTTACATTAATTTTATATTTTCTCAAATACTTTGGGTTGTAATTTCTTATTTAATGAAACGTGGTATAACGAGACCGATTAAAAATCATACCGGAAATTTGAAATAAAATTATTTATTATTATTTTATAAAATAAAAGATACTAATATTTTATTACCTATTGCCATGGCTATTCAGTTTAAGGTGAAAATACAAAAGGTAGTTATTGTTCACGGGAGAATTCAATAGTGAGTTGCCCTAAGGGCCTTCGCAAGACTGGAAGTTGCTAACGCCTCTGTACCCCCGACTCATGCATAAGCAAACCCTCACACCTTCCTCTCCCCCATTTAAACCCCCATCACCCTCCTCCTCGTCCTCATTCTCACCCAACGCAAACTCCTCTGAAAGCTTATAAACCATTTCTACCTCTCTCTCCCCCTCTCTCTATCTCTTTCTCTGTCTAAAAATACATATCTATTAGCTATGGTGGTTCTGTCACGAACAGCTAAATTGGACCATTTTTCTGACCTAATCAAAACATGCAAGCCCACCAGCTTGTTCGCCGGCATCCCAGTCGTCGACCTCTCGAGCCCCGACGCAAAGCACCGCATAGTCAGGGCTTGTGAGGAGCACGGCATGTTTAAGGTGATCAACCATGGAGTCCCATTGGACTTCATGACTACACTGGAAGCCCAAGCTCTCAAATTTTTCAACCTGCCCCAGTCGCAGAAGGACAAGGCAGCCCCCGCCGACCCTTTCGGCTACAGAAGCAAGAGAATCGGTCCAAACGGCGACGTGGGTTGGATCGAATACATCCTCCTCAGCACCAATCTTGATATCATCTCTCATAAGTCCCTCCCCATTTTCAAGGAAAACCCTGAAATTTTCCGGTAAAAATTTTGCAAAAAACAGAGAACTCTGTTCTTCTCTGTTTTTATTTATTTTCATTTTTTTTTACAAGCGATGCTGGAAATCGTCTGCGTTACGAAGAAACAAAAACATAAACCCAGTATAGTAACGCTCATCTTTTGGTCTCCTGCGCTCGTTTCAAATTCGTTATTCTAAATTAACTAATTTACTTGTTCTTTTTCAGTGACGCAGTGGAAGATTATATTACAGCAGTGAAGAACATGACTTTTGAAGTGCTGGAAATGGTGGCTGATGGGCTGGGGATTGATCAAAAGAATGTGCTGAGCAAGCTTTTGAAAGATGAGAAGAGTGACTCATGTTTCAGGCTGAACTACTATCCGCCATGCCCAGAGCTTCACGCTTTGAGTGGACGAAGTTTGATAGGGTTTGGGGAGCACACAGACCCACAGATCATTTCTGTCCTGAAATCCAACAACACATCAGGCCTGCAGATCAGTCTCAAGGATGGGACTTGGGTTACAGTCGCACCTGATCAGACTGCCTTTTTCATCAATGTTGGTGATTGCTTGCAGGTAGCCATTTTTATGATACTTACCTATTTTATGATTTTTTGTCACTTTTTTTTTATCAGTCAATCAATCAATTGCTTTGGAATATTAGGTCAAAACCTGACTTCTAGTCTTCTAGCAGGCAACTTGCATTGCCTCTTCATTTTTCTTCCATAACACACTCTCACAACATGTTACAACATCCCATAACCCTCTCTTCCTCTTTTGTATTGTAGGTGAAAACAATGGTGATTAACCTTAAAACTTAACTTCCACCTCGTCTTGTTTTTTGGAGGGTGATAAAAAATCTTAGGATGTGTTTGCAGTAAAAGTAAAATAAACTTACTGTTTTTGCTAACTTGGGAGTGGGATTTTGATGCAGGTGATGACTAACGGGCGGTTTAAGAGCGTGAAACATAGGGTTTTGGCTGACACACAAAGTTCAAGGGTTTCAATGATCTACTTTGGAGGGCCACCTTTGAGTGAGAAGATAGCACCTCTGCCGTCTCTAATGGCAGAAGGAGAAGAAAGCTTGTACAAGGAGTTCACGTGGAGTGAATTCAAAAAGTCTGCGAACAGGTCAAGGCTGGCCGATAATAGGCTAGGACCATTTGAGAAGTCTGCTGCTGTGATGCTGTCCAATTCCCAATTTTAGTAAAAACCAATATGTATTAGGGCTTTTGTCAAAAGCTCAGAATAGGTGTGAAAAAGTTTACTCCAATTTGCTCGTGTTTTTTCCATAGATGGATCGATCATCTTCTTTTATTGTATTTTTTCTTCTGTTTCCTCTCCTTTTTAACTTCTTTTTTTTTTTCGCCTTTGGTTCTTTGTTTGGATGTAACAACCACCAAGCTTCTGCGAGTTTATCTTCATGTCTTCTTGTTCAGAACAATCCATTTGGTTTCCATGTATAAAATTAAAATAGTTGTGTTGCATGTGTCAGACTTACCGGTTAGCTATTAATATTTGTCCCTATTTTGTTGAACATATTCTGAATTTGAATTATTCATTTTCTGGATAAGAAGAAACGTATTTTCAATAATCAACAAAAAAAAATTTCGACGAACAATATGATATTTACAAAAGTTATTTACATAGTCCACTCGCTGTGTCACAATTCACAATTAGGTATCTGATTCATGTGAGTCAAACCAATCAAACTAAATGTACAAAAACATGCTAAAAATGAAATGCTAATAGTTGTTATAAACTGCTTTTTTCAAAATCAAGTTGCAGATGCTTTAGCTTCAGTTGGCGCAAATAGTTATACTTATCATTAGTGATCTACGTTCCAGATTATGGGTGTAATGAATCTCATCCATTCAAAGGATGGTAAGTGTCTCGCACACAACTATTGCCGAATAAATAATATCGCCTAATCTTTCTCCATTTTAGAAAGAAAAAAAACCGCTTTATTTTTCAAACATGCTTGTATATCGTCATCGTGTTATCTAAGTTTTTTTAGGTATATAAACTGTAAAAGAAAGTGTTTATGAGTGTCATCTTTACCAATTAACTATTGGTTTTAGTGGAATTATTTTTTATTTTGATAAAATAATGTTACGTGCTCAAATCATTTATTTTAATAAACCACGTAAACATTGAATGATTCTGAGGCAAAACTACTCGCAGACGAGAAGTGGCCATCTAAAGGAGAAATATTCTACAATTCCATCACCTTATTGTGTTTTAGTTTTGGCCCCCCAAACATAAAATTATGTTGCCGTCCCGTTTATGCTTCCGGATTCTTCATATATGGCCTACAACTTATAAAATACCCTTTTTAATTATATTATGTTCATTTCAATGCCACTATATTTCTTTTTTCTTTTCTTTTAAGGGGGACAATCTAACTCTTCCAAATCCGGAGGTGGCCAATTGGGAATTACACTCTAGTTGTAACTACGATCAAGTAAATTCACAGTTCACAAAGTATCGAACCCATAACCTCTCATTTTTCCCTTTAAGTAGTTGATTTTCGCACTTTTCTATCGAGACATTTGTCGTGGCTATATTCTCAAAACACTTAAAAAAAGCATAATATATATATATATATATATATATATATCTATTTTGTGAAATAATACGTGAGAAATTGTATTTTGAAGATTACACAATAACTGTCGCAAAATGCTAATAATAATTTATTTTTCTATTCTTTATGAGTTTCAAGTTTAATGAGCTGAGAGATTTTTCTATGCATCTAGAATACAAGCATGTACATCATATGACATAATATAAGCGAATAGTGAATATAATTTTAGTGTCCTTTCACTTGTATTACAAACATAGCATACTATGTTCCAAATACAAACGGTGTACCAACTTAGATATATTAGTTTTAGTTTTGATCAAAAGAAATGCACGTGTGTGCAATATATTTTGAGCCTTCAAATACTTTTTTAGAATCATATTGTTTAGTTTTGTCAACTTTAATATAGAGAGGAACCTTCAACGGGACAGTATCATTTTCCGAAAATATTTTGGTCAAATAAATCGATTTTCGCCATTAAAAATTATAGTATTTATATATAGTAGTTTATGAGATAGATAAGCAATTACTTAATTTCAAGACCCATTCACAACTATATATTCATGATGTGACTCAGATCTAGTCATTTGGAAGCAAAAAGTAATGGTTTCCTGTTGTAACTTAGACTTCTCATTTGTCCATGGTCTACCAATATTCTGATCCGTTCCTTGGTCTGCTTGAGAGGTCACCACATTATTTTCTCAGCTTAATTGTTAAAAATGAATTTCATGTTGATAGAAGAAATGATTTTGCATGAGCTTATTAAGAATTGGGCTACTTCTCATGTTGTCAATTAATTTGAAGGTAGAACCTTAACTTTTTTATGATAACAGAGTATGTTGTACCATGTATGAAGATCAACGGCCACACGTACTCCATGTCACCCATTTATGTTGTCCGCTTGAAAATCTATCACACACGTGAGGGGGCATGTTGAGAATAAATCTCACATTGATGGGAGGATAGACCTTGCATGAACTTATAAAAAATTAGACTACTCTCCATATTGCCAATTAATTTTATAATCTTTTTTTTTTTTTTGTAGAAGCTAATTAATTTTAGGAAAAATTAGTATCCGGTCCTTAGTTTCTAATGTTCATTGACTAAGAAGTTATTAATTTTTAGATTTTGATCAAAGTCCCCAACATTAATATATTAATGAATTATATGTCAGTTACATAAATTTTATAATAAAAATTAGTAATTGATTTAGAGTTTTAATACTCACACCCTTATTAAACTCCTATTAATTTCAATTCAAACATTTCCAAAATATAAAAAATAAAATCAGAATAAGTTTGTACCCATTAAATTTTTATAAAAGAATGATTGGTACCCATTCTTAAATATACCAATTTGTTATATGAAAAATGTACCCTTTTTTAATATAAAATGTATCCATTTTTCATATAAAATTCATTCAATCTTTTCTCTAATCCATTTTTTTAACTTATATGGATACATTCTATTTCGTTGATTTAAGAATGTATCCATGTCAAGTTTAATAGAAGAAATGCTTAATAATTATTAAGCCTAATATCTTCTTCTTTTTTTGTGTTTTTGAAAAATGTACCCATGTTTTGGTTAGTTTTTTTATGAACATACCCATATATACACATAATATATTGGAGAGTATAATTTATCTTTAATATTTTAATCCCATAAATTATGAGTTTTTATTTAGAATCTCATTAATATAAATAACTACAAATTTTATTTTTAGTTTAAAAATAAAATAACCTACATAAAAATACGTTATTACATTAATCTCAGGAACTTTAATAAAAAACTAAAAATACAAAGGTTTTAGTCAAAGAATATTGATAATTAGGGACCGCATCCAAATTGTCTCTTAATTTTATGATGAAACCTTAGTGTCATTAAACTATAGAAATACAATGGTCTTAAAAGATTCAGAAGTATAAAACGTTTTTGGTACTAGAATAGAATTATTTAATTTCTCTCACATTTTCTTATGACAGACATGGTACAATTCATATCATATCCCATTTCAAAGCAAATATATCGAGCTAGGGATTTTGTTAACGTCGGTAGCTATCGCGGCGAGATCAATATTTTAAACAACTCGTGCATGGGCTTACCTTAACTATGAACAAAAGTGATCAGAATAAGTTGGCTATCATGTCATTCATACACTTAAGAGCGACCGACCTTAAAAACTTCATAGCTCGCTACTACACATTTGAGGGAAACTCCAAAAGTTAAACACATAACATGTTTGGGTCACTTTTTGAAAGTTCGATGCTATTTGTAGTCAGCCAAAACAGTGGATAACATTAATATGTTGAAAGATCCACTTCTTCCAGCATTTGGGGTAAAACTGAACAAGTAAAGGGATTGATAGTTGATTGAAAAGAAAAAAAAAAGTAGTTACAGGGAGATCGACATCGATCTGGCCTTTAGAAACCATATAATTGAGCCTACTTTTATATTCAAAACTGACCTTAGAAAGTTTGAAGTAAATTATTCAATGGCTTATTTTCAACTATGCTCTTAAAATTCGATTTCAATCTTACTTTGTCCTCCCAAAACTCAAAAGTCGCCACTTTACTATCCGAAACTCGATTTTGGTACCACTTTGCCCCCTAAAAACTCCAAAGTTGCCATTTTACTTACTGAAACTCAATTTTAATCCCACTTTATTCTCTGTAACTCTAAACTCGCCACTTTACTCATTAAAACTCAAAATTTATTTTACATTACCTTGTTTCTATTTTTTAAACTAAGTTCATCCATTCAAATTTTATAATTGGTAATATGCCAAATTTATCTCTGAAATAAATGGATAGTAAAAAATAACAAAAAGAACTACGTTATCTCTTCACCAGCCACCTCCATTAAGAACATAAGAAATAACAAGATCAATAAAACTAATGGATAAGGTGGCTAGAGATGGAGGGAGAAGGGATGAATGTATGGGCAACAATTAGAGAGAGAGGTTGGATAGATGAAACTAAGGAATTGTTTTTTGTATTTTGGTTACCTTTTCTTTTCTTTAATATGTTATACAAAGTTTAAAAAAAAATATATATATATATATATATTTTTTTTTGTTTCAATCTATGTTGCACCATTTGATTTGATATGTGAACTTTATACTTGTGCGTGAGTCATAAGTAAACCTTAATTAGATCATGTAAACGGTTATTTAACCAAATACATAAATACAAGCCAGAATGGAATGAATATTAAGTTTTAAGGAGTAAAGTAACGACTTTTGAGTTTAAGAGATAAAATGAGATCAAAATCGAGTTTTAAAGAGTAAAGTAAAAACTTTTAGGTTTCGATGAATAAAGTTGGATCAAAATTGAATTCCAAGGAATATAGTAAAAATAAGCCTTGTTCAATTGCCTGTTGGTTCTTTATTACTGAAGCTATAAAGTTTACAGCTAAATTTTCAACCGAAATTCATTCATCGAGTGGGTTTTTATTTTGGACGAAGATTAATATTTGATAAATAATTGAACATGTAAATCTCTTTTGAGTGAATAATTCTACAAAGTACACTCATTAGCTTATCTGATTAAAATAAGGATATTTCAATTACATTTATTCATCGTATATCGTAAGATCAGAAATTATTGTAAATATTTTTATTTAAAATTAAATATAAATAATACCAGATAAAAACTAACTATATAATATACAATAAACGAATATAATTGGAATATTTCTGATATCCTCGCAAATGGGTACCTCATTCAACTGATTTGTCGTTAACCCTACAGTTTGACAGTGGGGGGTCAGGCTCAGACTAAGCTTTTTCTTTTAACATAAAAAAAGATAATAAAAGGACCAATGCTTTTTTTGTTACCATATATAGGAAAAAGAGAGAGGGCAGAAAAGGATAGCAATGATTTCAACAGGAAATTCATGGGTTTT